TTGTATCAGTTGTGTAATCTAACTTGTTGTTTACAACATTAATGAGTCATCGCTTTTGTTTAAGCAAGTTAAGGAGAAGTTTATTTCTTTATTAAAATATTTAATGATAAGTATATCAAAATTGCTTTCACAACATACAACATCTTAGTTATATTATTTAGTTACAGTTCTAAAGTTAAATACTGTATATAGTTTACACGAGTGCTACACATTAAAAAAACACTTTAATGGTTTAAAACGCGATATATATGTTAAACTTATTTGAAAGTTCCCAATCGGTCCAATATGTTTTCACAAAATTATCTTAAATTTATCTACCTATATTAGACACTATCTCAAATATCTCGATATTATATGGCTGCATGTTATATAGTATTAAATTGCGGTGGTAACATATTTTTGTCCGGGTCACGAACCACCATCCTCACTTTTAAAAGCTGTAAAATTAATGCTTTTAATCGCGTTTTGGTTTTACTCTGTGGATTTTCGTATGAAAGAATTGAACAAAATAGACTAACAAGACATGTTAATTGGATGTAATTTAGTGTTCAATTAAGTAAGCCCCGTGCTTGTCTGTTACCCTATATCGCAGTAAAAATATTAATAAATAGATGTCCACTTAATGTGACTGACGCATGCTCAATTTTCAAAGCTGGAGCAACTGAACAAATATGAGATGATATCACTCTCTCTACATTACACAGGTGCACTCCATTGAACGTAGATGAACTATTCATTGAATGACCTTACCGATATATAAAACTAAAAGATGCGCCTTATTTTGCATGGGAAAAACTTTTTTTTTTGCTATTATATAAAAAGCCTTGAGTTTCTGCGATGATAATGATACCCCATTTCTTTCTGTGGGGCATGGGGCGACGTAAATTTTTCGTAATCAAAATGAAAAGTGTGTTTTAAATTTTAGATCCTTTTTCATATAAAAACTGAGTTTTCGAAATTTAAATGTGTTTAATTAAGTTCAACGACAACTAAATTACAATAGTATTATACACGGAGGACATGTAAGCTCTTTCTGGGCAGGGGTAAATTAACTTGAACCTTTAGTTAACACGAGCCACCAAAGAATTTATTTCCTGACCACTGTGACAAAAATTTATTAATAAAAATACGCAACTCGCTTTAAAGAGTATTTTATATAATTAATGTTTTTTCAAAACTCTATTTTTACATTAAATTTAATTACAGACGTTTTATCCTTATATCATTAAAAAAAGTTGTCTTATAGGATGAAAATAATTTTAATGGCGAAGAAATAAAGAAAAGAACGGCTTAAAATACTACGTAGGCAAGAGCTCAATCTAATTAATCTCAATTAATGCTATCGGTGCTCCATTATAAGGTTTTATTCGTAATCTACAGTAATTAAAACGATAGCCTTACAATTTCCAGTTAATTATAATATCTACGACGTTGCATGAGCTTTTTTATTGTGCAAAGATTACATCTTAAACGGGAATCGGGAATAAGCGTTGGATATTACTTTGTTAAGATGGACTTTAAATTAACTGTGTATTTAAATATTATTGTTTACGCGAGTAGAACACGTTAAAATTAAACACTTAAACGGTTAAAAATGTGTATAATTAGTTTAGCTTCATCCGTAGTTTAAATAATTTAAAAAATTTTTTTTTTTTTTTTCCGTTTTTAACAGTTAAAGTGTTTTATTTAACTGATATTTGTTTGCGTAAATTGGTAGACTTGTAGCTGTGGTGTATGATATAGTAGAAACTCTGTGAAGTACGATTTTGATGTATGGTTAAAGTCTATAGATTTCTGAAAGAATATTTGTTTTATAAGGCTACGATGAAAAAAAGAGATTCTAATAAAAAATACATATAAGACTCCAATTTTAACAATGGCACCTCCTTGTTTCACTTATCGACTTAGTTAAACCTTGTTTGTTGCGTATTATAAAAACAATTAGCCGTTGTGTATAAGCGAGGTTTTCACGTAATGAATTTTTAAGGTTCAATTTCCAATGGACATTTGAAAAACTTGTGCACGTGTGTTCCGAATGGATTTTTGCATTTCAAATAGCGCTTTGCACGTGCATTCAATTCAAAATTACATCGGAAAAAAATTAACCCAAATATCGCAAGAGTTGCGGAATTTTAAATAAGGGTTGCCGAAAAAATCCTTTCTAACCCGAGCGTCCGAACACGTGCATCGGCTATAACAATGCGCCGATGAGTCACGAACGACGCTCGAACGTCGAAACCGAATTCGTATTATGAAAGTCGATAAAAAAACGATCACCGTCAAGGAATTGTACATCTGCCCGAAATTCTCACGGATTCACTTCGAGGCCGCTTATTATTACCGGTCCGCGTATTACATGCGACCGATTATGACAACCGGGCGCTTAGCGGTATCACTCGATGGCGTTTTAAGCTCGCTACAGACTATGCCAAAATATAAAACCACATATTTCATAGCGCATTTTTACCACAGACAATCATAGGTTTACTTGATGGAAGGCACTATAGCATTAAAATACAACACTTTAACGGTTTATAACGCAATTTGTTAAACTTTTAATTTAACTACCAACGTTTTAAGTTTTCGGTAAGTTTAATAGTAAGTATATATTTCGCGTTTGAAACGGTTAAAATACTTTATTTAAATATGTACTACTCGCGTAAACAACAGATAGTATTTAAGCTCTATAGCATAGAGTGTAGATGTATTTCAGCATTAGACATTCGGGATTCCACAGACTGAAACGTTTATCTGACACTTTTACACTTTAGGGCTTTTTCATATATAATTAATAGTCAGCTATTTCTTGCTATAAAGCCTGCTGATATTATAGTCGTCTGCAAAGAGCTTTAATCAATAGATCACGATTTGCATATCAAGTTCTGATGGTATCAACTAGACATATGCAAATTGGATTGTCAAACCAACTCCTTAATGAAGTTCTCGACCGTATCTAAAATTGGTTCACACGAAGAGTTTGAGAAACCCGTTTTTGTACGGGAAAATAAGTTATAGGATTTCTGCATGATCAGGCATGGCTTTATAAATTATTAAAAGTATCAATAATTATTTTTTCTGATTAGCTTGTTAGTTGTCTTCACTTATTCGTGTTCTTGGAACTTTCGATAAAGTTTGTGTAATACTTTGGTTATGATTAGATTCTAGATTAGTAACTAGTTTGTGACAAGTATTGTCTGATGTCTACGCGAGTGGCACACATTACAACACTGTAATATAATAACTAAGATATTTACGTCTGAACGTAAATTACATGATTCAATATAATTTAGCGAGTCATCTTTTAAAATTTGATGCGTATTTTCTTTAATATATCTCGCGCAAACTACAGACAATTAAAATGCATCTATTGTTTGCCGTTTCTAGATTTGCAGAAATTTCGAATGAAAGTGACGTAAAGTAAAATTAACTACCCGAGAAGCATAGAATCGAAAGACGCTTTGAAAACGCACGTGCACTATAAATTCTCACTTGTATTGTAGTAAAATAACAGAATCGATTGTTGTAGTTTTTCATTACGCGGTGGAGTACTATTTTGTATGGAAGTGAGACGCGACAGGTTGCGACAAGTTCCGACAAGACCGGGCTGCTTTTTAAGGTTGCACAATCTGCATTGCAATTTATCGTGAGTGATGGGACGGGTTTTATAAATTAATGCCTCGCAAGAAAGTAATAAACTGCTGCTACTGTTCTGTACTTTCTGGGGTCAATTTTATTGGTCCCTGGTGTTATTTAACGGGTTTGAGTGTGAATTATTTAGATTTTTGAGAGATAAGAGAAAATGTGATTTAATATGTTACAGTTGTAATATGGGTAATTTGGAAATAACTCTAATCACCTTAATATTTCCTGTCTATAGTTTACGCGAGTAGTACACATTTAAATAAAACACTTTAACGGATTAAAACGCGATATATTAGTTAAACTTATTTGGAAATGATTCATAAATATTATTAAATCATTTCCAAATAAGTTTAACTATTATATCGCGTTTTAAACCGTTAAAGTGTTTTATTTAAAAACTTTATATTTGTTAATTATGTTGAATGTATTTTGCAAGTAACGGTTTATACCTACGTGCATGTTGTTTTATTGCGTTGATATGATTCTCTTCGCATGCTTATGTTTAAATTATTTAAAAAGTCTCTCTTCTTATATCGCAAACGGAAATATTGATATGATATTTATTACAACAACAAATAAATATATTTAACTTTTCAAATTATATGGAATTTTTTATGGAAAAAGCTATCAACAGTGAATACAATAACTGTTTAAGAAAGCCTTTTTAAATTCATTAATTTGAATGAAAAAGGCAACTCACTATTTACCTCATCTTAAACCAAGATACAAAAACAACATAGGGAATTGAATTCTGTACAAGCTATTAAATATCTAATCATCTCTCGTCAATCTCATCAAGATCAAAAAGAAATGCACGGTCAAATGAAAAAATGACCATTAACAATCCAGTAGCTGGACCGCTGCACGTGCTTAAGGTCTACTTAACTATACCACAGACTATATAAGATTATAGTCTTAGTGGCTCGAGCCAAGACGTGCGCCTTCCCGCCAAACTTGTCTGACAAGTTTACATCTAAGCGTGCTCAGCTTAACCGAGCCAGTTCAATGTGTAATTATTTCTTCAATAGAGGAAGTGAATGTAAAAGGAAAGATAGCAAATATTTTCATATCATTTTTATTTCAACCTTGAAAATTTATAACATAAATAAATTATTATACTAAAACAATTAAAGCTGAAGCATGTCTATCACGCATAGATCCTACATTACTTTATACATCAAAATATCACAACACAGTAGTTTAATTAAAGCTTTTGTGGAGTTATCACGCGTTGGAAGCCCAAAACTAAACCTAAATTCTATATGGCACCATAGAATATTAAAGCTACGATCACAGACGATTTTGAAACGGAGTCACCGGTTTCGTGGAAGACACTTGGATTGTTGTTGATGAAAAAATTAAGCTTGCACCCAGCGATCTTGGTAGACTGGGTACTGTTGTTCGGCGGTTTGGCACTCGGTGTAGCAGTGGGCGGCCGCGAAGTCAGATTCGGACTTGGAGACGGTGGTCCAGAAGAAGGTGCCGGCGTCTGTGCGGGCGAAGTGGACTGGGATGTAGAAATCTTCGCGGGAAACTGGCACAAGATCGTAGGATTCGTCCTTGTTGCAGACGAGGAATGCGGCCGATTGGCAGGCCTCCATGTCACTGTAGATCTTGCGTTCGAGCGCCTCGTTGCGCGAGTTCTGCTCGTCTTCGATGCACGTGTCGATCGTTTTGGCGGGAGATCGCTTCGTCGACTTCTTAATGATCTTCAACAGTGGCTTCAATAGCGCCTTGAAGCCGCTGTTCTTCATCTTCTCACTGTTGTATTTGTTCTCGTTGATCGAGTTGTTCGTCGAGATGATGTATTCGTTGTTAGCGTATAGAGACATTTTAGCGAAATGAGAGCGTGTGTTGCGAGTGAGTGAACGAGTGGGAATGTGGGGCTGCATGGCCGCGCCGCGTATTTATACGCGCAGGGCCGCCCCCAACACAAAAGCTACGTGTACGTGAAAAGCTTCCCTCGCGTGTGTGGGTGATATTCGACTATTATATTTTTCGTAAACACGAAACTGCCGTATCATTATGTTTGGTTTATTGTTATCTGTTTAAGGTGACGGGGTAACAATAGGTACTTAATACAGTTATGTCTACGGTATAGGAAGCTTACTTGCTACGACGTAGAGCATAGAAGTTACAATGTTTGTAGGTACTAATTAAGTAGTTGGAGTCTTGTATTTTTAGTTAACGTCTAAGAGTGTTGCGAGAAGTATTTTTACTATAGCCTTCTGTAAAAAGGGGTGACATTCTGTGGAATGTGTTATCGTTTAATATATTAAAGCTAGCTTAAAGTTTATATATTTCTAACTTCTATCTAATAGGATTCCTTTCATCATTTATTATGTGAATGGGAGCCACGCGCTGACCACGAGCCGTGGGTAAACAGCACATGTTCATCATTAACCCTCTCTATGGTGTGTGACAATGCGATTGTTATCGAGGGGTCAATAAGTCGCACGGGCTCGTTTCGACCCCTCTATTTAGGGCGCACTTGAGCGTGCAATGTGAAATTTACCCTACAAGGTGAGATGACCTAAATTGATAATAATTCTTTTATTTATTAAAATTTGGTGATCTAATTGTTGGTTGTACAGTCTTATATAATGCTATAAAATTCTTGTAACATCTTAAGGGAGTATGATGAAGGGATAAAACTGTTCATTAACATATTTCTTACAAAAAGAAAGCATTAACATAGAATACCACCTACGCACAAGATTCCAACTCGTACGAGTCCAAACATGTAAGATTTTTTTGACACAAGTCCGAAGAGATACCAAAAAAATTGAGTTGAAAAGAAATCAGTGTAGCGGTGATATCGCTGGGCCAATGGGGTGCGCGCGCGCCGGCAGGTGCTGCGATCGAAAGTCGCACACATACGATACCAGTTTAAATATACGATCTTTGAACACGTGCATTCGAGGGGGACCGAAGTACTAAAACCGGGGTGGTGGAAGCGGGACCGCGAATATTTTTTATACACATGAATAGATTCACGACTCCTTCATATCCGAAATAGGGTAACGCAAAGGCTAATTTGGTTATTGAAAATCGAGGGGTTGTTCGTGGGAATGCTCTCCGCTTCTAGGTTCCCAGGGCTGCTCGCACATTGAGCTTTTTTTCGGCAATTCGGAACGACGACAGATGGCAAGCGTTCGATCGCGTTCTGCTTTTTTATATTAAATCGTATGGGTATTGGAATTAAACATTCCATTTAGATGCCTCAGCGCTTTCGTGTTGAGGGCTGCGAGGGGATGAAGATGTAAACAAGTGTAAAAGGGGTCAGTGGAATCCGACCGGGCCCATAATTCCATAATTAAATATCTATTAGGGCCATTTTAAGATTATTAGTGGATGATTGGGGTATTTATTTTCGTTAATTACGTAAATAGTGGGCAATCTAGTGTTAGATTAGATTTTTAGCTGATCGAGGGTTATTACCATGTTTTATTCTTAAAGATGTTAGTTTATATTTACTAAAACTTGTTTTTCGTAGGTAAAATATGTTATAAAGTCGATGTAGGTACTTGAAATTCTTATATTGAAGTCGTTATGTACAAAATGAAGTAATTTTTAGAAGGCACACCTACCGCTTTTTTGTAATATCTTTTTTTTTCAGGCCAAACTGTTAATCATTTTCACTGGTCTCTCAAGTCCAGATTCCCACGAGAAGATGACACAAAAAGTTGCATGATAATGGAAGCGAATATAGTAAGGTGCAGTTTGCGTCATTTTAAAAAGTGACGTATTGTACCCCTCGGCGTGACAAGTGCGTGGTTTTGTCCCGCGTCGAGGGCAGGGTTAGCCGTGGCCAAATCTACCCTAAGCTTTGTTTGCGATCACACTTGTTACGATTTATTTAGGGGTAGCGAACCTATTGTGCTCTGTGATATTAATTTTTTATTTGTTATTATGGCCGACTTGTATGAAATAAGATAAATGGATCTTCGGGAAATCTAACTGAAATTTATTTAGAAGTACTTTTGACTCACAAATATTCTTAATTTAAAGAATAATTAGGTACATATAAGTTGTATTTATTTACTTTCCTCAAAATGTAATTTTTATATATGGTTTTCTTAAGAAGATATTATTTATATGTTTAGATAAGTACCTACTACTTATAATACGAGTTGAAGTTAAATACCTAAATATATGGGTGCCTAGAAGTATTGATATATGTTGCCTGTAAATAAATACTTACTTATGATCTAGATGCTTCTACTTAGAAACATCTAGATCTCCTAAAATATATTAGCCATCTAGACATTTTCTGTATACTAAGATAAGTAATCCTACTAAACAAAAAATGTCTCCCCTAACTTATTATCTGTACACCTGATTCAGAGTGTGGGAATTTCAGTTACGTGATTTGATGCAATTTATTCGAGGGTGGAAAATAAAAGACCATGAATAAATCACTTCTAATCGTTTATTTTTTGCTCGTACACTTGTTCGTCACCTACACACCATATAATATTTGAAAGCAAACTTTGCTTTCAATCAATATCCCAAGCTTTACACAAAAACAACCTTACACTCTGGAAATACGGTTCAAATTTAGATTACATTGTATAGTAACTACATTGTAAAGTGTCAAAAATAGAGGGGTGGCATTTTAGGGGTTGTTGAACAATTAACCGATGCAGGTAAACTAATTTTAAGTAATGGGATAAGGTTTCATTCCACGTTTATACATAAGTGATTAGATTATGATTAATCTTATACGAAATTTTCTAAAATATATTAAAACTACAGTGTAAACTCTATATAGCGACACTGAAGGGACTGTGCATTTTATGGCGTTATAGAGAGTTGTCGTTAAATGGAGAGAAGAAACATTGTATGAAAAACAAGCTAAACCAACCAAAGCCAATTAATTTCGACGCTTAAGAGAGTTTGTCGTTAAATAGAGTGACGTTACATGGAGTTTACACTGTATATATTCTATACTTATGTACTACTAAAATGAGGGTTCCATTGTCGTGGCAAATGGTCATGGTTCCTTTATAGGGATTGGTACTCGTTTGTATATTAATATTCCTCAGTACTTGCTGGAGCTTTCTCTTATCGCCTAGAAAGCAGCTAAGCACTTGTAAAAAAGCTTATTATAAATATTTAGATGATAAAAACGGTAGGCCACTCAGAAAATATTCTATATTTCCTAATGTCGTCGGTGATTGTTCGTTCAGTTTTTTTTTGTCCTGGTAGATAATTAATTGTTCTGTTGTTTAATTATTTAATTACATTTAACTTTTTGTAAGTGCTTGTTGTAATTCTACACAAATCAATTTTGAGTTCACGTTTTGAATGTATGTTGTATTATTAAATTATTACTAAAATTTGTTGGTTTTATTTAAAATTTCGATAACCCATGTGTTACGATAATACGTCGTCAAATTAAAAAGTTACAATTTCATTATATTAAAAAGTAAAAATGAGCTTTCAAATAAAAAGTCTAATCCTGGTTGGATCATAAAAGTAGTATCAAGTCCCATGCCATTAGAGGTAAAAATTCTGATGAGCCAAGATCATTAAGAGTAAAAAATGATAATAACGATCCCGATCTCGTTAAATCTTCTTCTATTTTGAATATCCAATTCGGGAAAGCAATGTCTTTAAGGATATTATAATGTTACTTTTAATTAAGGATTCGTGCCGCTCTGCTTGCGGTAATAAAAATTCTAATAGGTTTCCTATATCGAGGTGCAGCTTTTTGTTGGGAGCGCTGGTATAATGGATTTCATATCAGATTTTCTTGATTGCGTACGGCTAATCGATTTTACAGTAGCCCGTGAGAGACTTACCAACCATCAGTTATCTATAGTTACAGTGGTTTATAATCTGTGGCCAATAAGTTATGAAATTGTTAGAATTTGGATCAGCGCTATATAAAGCTGCATAATTTGGAAGTAAGTAAATTACTGTGTGGGAGTGACAGGATCTGTAACGCGTCACGTAACGAAGCAGATAGAAGTTAACAGTATAAAACATTACTCTGAAGTAAATTATATTTTTTATCTGTTTAAAATTATCCTAATTTAACTTTAAAAATACCTTCACCAGTAAATTTAAAAAAGCTATTAACGGTTTAAACGCGAAATGTGTTAGTTATATATGTTTAGGTACGCCCATATTAATCTATTATATTACCTGACATAAATTGTAAATAAGTTAATTACTGAATTACGCGTTTTAAACAGTTAATGGTTTTTTATTTAAATGTGTACCCTATTTAAAACTATTATCGAGTCCTTAAATTGTTAATAGCTAATATTATATATATATATTGATAATGATGGGATTCAAAACGCAATCTAATCATCTTCGGAGCTATTAAAAGGTCATAAAGCGAAATTACCAACGATTTATTTGAAAATTAACACGTCCGTTAAGGGTTGGTTATGTGGTAAAAGTGGCCCCTTTGTTGTGATCGGGTTGTAATTTAACCCCTTCATTGGAGTTAAATTAACCCTTTTCAGGGGAGTTAACCTGTAATCAATCAAAGTGCTATCATGTTAACGACTACCGATTGCGCAACTAAAGGTAGCCACAAAATTACACGTTTTTAGGGAGTGTGTGAGGGATGTGCGAGGTCACTTGAATCTTTGGTTTTGGCTTGGATATTAACAAAAAGATTTCGGAGGGGTGGGTAATTTCTAGTCTAGGTTGTAATTATTTGTATGATGTTTTTTTATGACGTAGGAGGACAGTAGGTTTGGCGTTCACTCGATGGAAGGTGAAATTTACCTATATAAATTATTTTGGCTTTGAATATTCGGTAATCCACTCCAGGTACTTCACGGCATTTTCATCTGTGAACGATCATCCG